GTATAAGGTACTTTCATTAATCATACTTAAAAGACTACAAATTTATACAGATGAGATAGTGGGTAATTACCAAAGCGGATTTAGAAAAAATAAATCAACTACTGATCACATATTTGTCATAAGACAAATTATGGAAAAAAGTTATGAGTTCGCGAAAGATCTACATATGGTTTTTGTGGATTACAAACAAGCATATGATAGCATAAATAGAGGAAAACTATGGAAAATTCTTAAAGACTTTGGTTTGCCAAACAAATTGATCAGCATGGTGAAACTATGTAACACATACACCAGCAGCCGAGTCAAGGTGAACGGCGAGATATCGTCTTCGTTTATAATAAATAGTGGATTGAAGCAAGGGGATGCGATGTCACTAGTGCTTTTCAATTTGGCATTGGAGAGTGTGATAAGAAAGGTTCCACGAACTGAGACATTAAACCTTGACGAAGGAAATGTCTTACTAGCATATGCAGACGACATAGTGGTTATTGGGAATTCGCGAGAAGGTATTCAGAATACTGTCGAAGAACTGATAAAGGTGGGAAAAGGTATTGGCTTGACAATCAACAGTGGTAAAACTAAATACATGGTGGTGAAGCGAGGAGGGGGTGACCATAACAACCTCCACGTCGGAAATAACACCTTTGAACAAGTACAAGAGTTCAAGTACCTTGGGTCTACCCTAAATAACCAAAACAACATGCATGGAGAGATCAATATCAGACTGGGCGCTGCTAACCGATGCCTTTATGAACTGAAAACTNGATCAATATCAGACTGGGCGCTGCTAACCGATGCCTTTATGCACTGAAAACCCTCTTTAAATCTAAGCTACTGTCAAGGAAGACAAAAGAACATCTATACGTTAGTTACATCCGCCCTATATTGACATATGCATGTGCCACATGGGCAACAACGAGAGGTGATGATGAAAAACTACGGTTATTTGAGAGAAAAGTTCTTAGAAAAATTTATGGACCCGTATTCAACAATACAGAACAGAAATGGGAAATAAGAACAAACGCCCAACTGTACCAGCTTTACAAAAGAGAAGATGTGGTCCAATTCACCAGAGGGACTAGGATAGAATGGGCAGGCCACGCATGGCGGGCCGATGGAAGTATATTGAAAGGAGCAATGACATATATGGTAAGCGGAAAAAGACCAAGGGGAAGACCGCGAAAAAGATGGAAGGACAGCGTCAAGGAATTATTAGAAGAAATTGGAGTGGACTTGGAGCAGGCATATGATAGAGAACGATGGAAGGAAGTAGTTTTGGCGGCCAAGAGTCTAAATGGCTCGTAAAAGCCCGAAAAAAAAAAAAAAAAAAAATTAGAAGGGAAAATTCCAAATGAATGGAGGAATAGTATTATGGTGCCGATACTTAAAGGTAAAGGTGACATACAGGAGTGTGGAAATTATAGAGGCATAAAGCTTATGAGTCGTATTATGAAATTTGGGAAAAAGTAATAGATAAGAGAATAAGAAATGAAACATTGGTATCTAAAAACCAGTTTGGATTTATGCCTTGTAAGTCAACAATGGAGCCTGTATTTTGTGTGAGGCAACTAATAGAAAAGGGAAAAGAAGAAATAGCTGTATATGGTAGTAGGGTAATATTGGGGATTCTAGCCCCCCCCCGCCTCACCCCGCCTCACCCCTTCACCTACGCACCCACCTGTATTGTGGGCGGGCGGGGTGGAAGGCGTGTCATACAGTGGGCGTGGTCTCTCGAGGGTGGGGTAATGTCAAGGTCTTATAGTGGGCGTGGTCTCTCGATGGTGGGAGTAATGGTGGATCGCATTCATGAGGGTGGGGGTAAGGAGAAGGCGTGGTCTTATCATTGATTGGGTAAGGAGTGGCGTGGTCTTATCAATGATTGGTTAAGGGTAGGCGTGGTCTTATGACGGTGGGGGTAAGGAGTAGGCGTGGTCTTATCATAGAGGAGGCGTGGTCTTATCATAGATAGGGTAAAGGGAGCCGTGGTCTCACTATAATGGGAGTAATAGGTAACTTAGGTAGGGGTCTTAAGGTCAATGAAAATGGCGGATTAAAGTGCGCATGCGCACTATAACTTCATGTCAGTGGTGGGGTAGGTAGCCATATGGTTGTCTCCTCCTACGATGTCATCTACTGGAGGGTAAGGTAAACCTCATGTGAACTGATAACGGTAACTGATAAGTGTACGTGTAAACATACACATCACATTGAAATAGTGTACGTCATATAGTGGCCGCCGTTGTCACTATAACATATTTACTTAATATTAACGCAGCAGGGGTGTCCGTCAACAATTCCTATACAGGAAAGGGGTAATGAAACATAACATAAACTAACCTATAATGTGTGGGGATGAATCCAACTATATTATTATTACTACTATATTATAATGCTCATAGACGTCAGCATTTTATGAGAACAATGACAATGTTTGTCGTTGTGGCATAATTTCTAAGAATTTTATCATTGCCTACCAGACTCTTAGATAAGCATACTTCCAACGTCAAAGGTACCGCCTATTATAACCCACATTACCGTCTACATTTAATAAAAACAAAGACAACGTCTGTTGTTATGGCATAATAAATTCTAAGAATTTTATCATCGTCTACCAGACGCTTAGGTCAGCAAATTTCAAATATCAAAGAAGTCACCGCACAGTAATGTCGTATGAATCTTATCATGGGTAACCAGACGCTTAG